GTGACACCACTCATTTGGGCCAGCTCTGGGATTTTCATGCGGATTCCACCCCAGAGTGTTTTTCCACAAGACCAGATGATCGGGTGGGTTTCGTTTGCTTCCTAGGGAGTAAAGGGGTATGTTGAGAGGTGTTCAGAGGCTCCATGGAGGCTCAGCAGGGAAGAATGTGGTGATTTGTCAGAAAGGTGTGCTGGGGCTTTTGGGGGGTGGAATGGGTAGGGCAGTGGCAGCAGGCAAAGAAGACGTGTGTTCTTGGCAGAATAGAGGTATTTGGCCTGGAGTCTGTTAGAATCTGACCAGGAAAACTTCCTAAGGGGTGACAGGAATTTAATGGAGAAAATCTCTGAGAAAGGGACTAATAGAAAACCCAAGGCTTAGGAGGAGAAAGTGTCTCAAGAGCGGCTTTAGAGGGTCCCAAGAAGAGACCCTCCAGAGAATGCTCAAAAGCCAGATGAAAAAAAGAATCGTTTTAAACATCACACAGGCTAATAGAATACAAGGGAGGATCCCCCCCAAGCCCCATAATTTATTCATAAAAAATTGTGTATTTATTCTTACATGTTTAAATTTCAGTCACCTTCAAAGTACTTTTCGTTTGATGCAATATACCTATCAAGAAGCTTTTTCCACTGCTCAAAACAGTTTTTGAACTTATCAATTTTGATGCCTTTTAGTGCTTCTGCCATTTTTTGTTTCACCCTTCCATCAAGGCGAAACATTTCCCTTTGAGGACTTTTTTCATCCGGAAAACAAAAAAAGTTGCTCTGGGCAAAATCAGGTGAATTGGGAGGGTGAGACATGGGGGTCATATTGGTTGGTTTTGGTCAAAAACTGCTGAACGCTCAGTGTAGTGTGGGCAGGTGTGCTTATAAGTCACCCATCATGAAATGGGCAAATGTGTTCAAAGAATCTACACACACGCACACACACGTACACACACCCACACACACAAAATTCACCAAAGTCGAATGCAGCCTCTCACAACAAAACTAACCTAGTGAGGGAAGCCTGTATTACAAAGGACCTGCCCTCCAAAAAATAATTCTGGGATTTTGGGTTCTCCCCTTGTATAAGGCCATTTTATGAGTCCTGCTTTAAAGTGTGCATTTTGATAAAAAGACTTGAAATAATATTGTGGAATTCAATGAAAACCATGGCATCGGTATCCAGGAAATGGACTCACTGCGCAGGAAAGTTACTTTTCCAAGTTCATTCCCTGGGAATGTAGTAAATGATAACATTGTTGTGGATTCCTGGCCTGTGTGTGTGTCCTCTGTCATAAATAACAATGTTTGGGAGGACTGAGATTTTATCTCTGCAATTTACAAAGATGCAGAATGGGTGATTCAGAGATAGGTTGTGGGGGTAGGAGGCTAATGAGGATAAATTTACCACAGACTTTTTCTGTGGAGTTATTTTTTCCTCCACAGTCTTAGGCCTGTTTGTGCCGGAGCTCACAAGTCTTCATTTCCTGGAAGCTAGAAAGTTGCCTGGAAGGTGTATCAGGCAACTGAGAGTTTTTCTGTTTTGACAGAGAATATCTGACACATTTTGTTTAAGACACAATGAAAACTTTAACCGTGACACAGAGAAAAATAGACCTTATTTTTCTTCTTTCAGTATATATGTTTCCTTCCATGTCATTAAATTATGACAAATTGTTATGGAAACATAGTAGGAAATATGGGTTGGGAGAGGAGACAATACATTGAACTTTATCCAGTTATAAGTAATCAAAACAGTCTTAAAGTAATTCTTCTCGCCAGGTTTCCAGAGAAAATTGGTTTCTTATACCTACCATTGCTCCTAGATACATTTTTAGGTTTTAATCAGTTTTTCCAAAATGTATTTAGAACAAATACAAGGAGAAGGGATCAAACTGCAGTGTCTTGTTTGGATCCTGAAATTGATGGTGACCTAATACAAATTAATGATCACCCTAGCCATTCTTTTTCTTTAGAATTGGGTATGGTTGCAGGAAACTGTGAAGGATATGAGGACAATAAAAATGTATAGAAGGGAAATTGAAAACAGACAACTATAAAACAGTGTCTCTCTAGTCTAATCATTACCTACTTTTTGTGCTTATTGTGTAAAGTCAATGTATTAGCAAAGACTAATAAATAAAAACTTAAAGTCTATAAAAAGTAGCGAGAAAGAGAAATATATTGAAAATAGGCCAAAGGAAATGAGTTCAGAACATGGATATGATTCCCAAGCAAAATTAATATATTGCAGAATTGTCTCCTAGTGGGGGCAAGTTAGAGGAAAATCAGACCCTTTCGTGATTGATGACAGCCAGTTCTGCCCTGTGCCCCAGGAGGCAAACTGACATACCAGGCATGCTACTGAGGTAGGCTTGTGGTTTTGGTAGAGCCTCTGAAAAATTAGAGTTTTCCTCTCTTCACCCTTTAGACATCTTTACTTTTCTTAGATAATATATGGACATAGAGTCTCTCCCTCCAGATATACATGTGTTAGAATTTTGGTTTAAAAACTATATACCTATATATATTCAGCATTAAAGAGAAAGAAAATGTTGATGATTTAGATTGAAAACATTTTCTCCAGTGTGTTCTTAAATGCTTACCACACTTTGGAAGTTAATGCTGGAAGGGTAGGAAAGCAAAGGAAAGCAACAGGATAAGGTCCAAAAGCCTCATATATGAATAAATACGTTTAAAATTCTAAACTGATAAGGTTATATAATTTTTACTTGTAAAAAATCCACCTGTTATACAAAAAATAAAATAAAATTATAAACTGAAATTTATATGAGCAATATTATACTGAAAACAAAAATATAACAGTTATGATCAAATTTAATACTTTAAAAAATCGGATGGACCAGACGCAGTGGCTCATACCTGTAATTTCAGCATTCTGGAAGGCCGTGGCAGGAGGATTGCTTTAGCCCCAGAGTTAAAGACAAGCCTGGGCAGTATAGTGAGACTCCGTCTCTACAAAAAATCAAAAAATTTGCTGGACATGGTGGCACACACCTATAGTTCCAGCTACTCAGGAGGCTAAGGAGGAAGGATCACCTGAGCCCAGAAAGTCAAGGCTATGGTGAGCCATGATTGTACCATTGCACTCCAGCCTGAGTGACAGAGTGAGAACCTTAACTCAAACAACAGCAACAACACAGCAACAACAACAAAAACTGATAGTTGATGGACATCATAACTACTCTGCATGTGGCAACTTCATCTGACCCTTCCCTGTCATCCTTCAGGTCTCAATCTGAATGTTACTTCTTTGCCTGCCCGAAGCCTAAAATGAAGTCGGACCCTCCTGTGTCTGTATTTCATACAGTTTTCCCTTCATTGTGTAAATATCTCTTGTATTACTTTATTGTCTTTCCACTTTCCCCAGGATCCATAGCCTCGTTAGGGCAGGAACCATGTGTATTTTATGGGAGAAGCCATGGTAGTAAACATGGTAGTAGACCTCATGGTGTCTAGAACAGAATAGTTGCTCAAAAAGTATCTGCAGAAAGAAGAAAAAAGGACTGTAAGTAGTTTCTGCATGATACTGAACATTAATGCTACTTAGACGGACAAACCAAGTTTTTAATGTATTCTTTTCTCTTTGGTAGTTGTTAAGTGTTTAGAATGGCATTAGTGTCAATAGTGTTCCTTGATGCTGTCAATAGGTAAATATTCCTCACCTGAATATAAATGGCATTCAATCGGTTTTTTGTTTGTTTTTTGTTTTTTTAATTAATTAATTTATTATAAAGATGTGGGGTACAATTCAGGGTTAGGTATACAAACATTGATCATGCAGGTACTCTTGTTGATCATTCAATTCTTTTAAAAGACTCTGTCCAGTCCCAGAGTTGCCTATGACTCTCCATGACGAGTGAGCCTGAAGCTCTGTGTTCCCTGCCATCTTCCCATCTATCTGTGTCTCATCCTTTCTCCACTTTAATAAAGGGATGAAGGAAGGTAGACATGAATTAACCAAAACTTTGTGCATAGGATAGCATTGGCAAACCCTTTCCCATTCTCTCACTGATACGGCATTTATAAGGGGTGACACCCCAAAACCTGGAATTATCTTTGGGAGGGCAGGCCCCTTGTAGAACAGTCTTCCCCTGCTAGGAGGTGTTCTAAGAATCCATCAGCATCAGTGTAGCAGTTGGTGCTATTGTGAGAGGCTGCATTTGGCTTCAGTGAGTTTGGGGGTGAGATTCTTTCAGCATTTGCCCATTTCATGATGGGTGATCTAAGCATGCACCTGCCCACACTGCGCTGAGTGTTCACCAGTTTTTGATCAAAAACGGCATGACCCTTGCACCCCACTCTCCATATTCACCCAGTCTCACACCCTGAGTGACTTTATTTTGTTTCTCCTAATGAAAACAATCCTCAAAGGGAAACATCCTCAAAGGGAGGAGGTGAAACCGAAAACGGCAGAAGCACTAAAAGTGATCAAAATTGACAAGTTCATAAACTGTTTTGAGCAGTGAAAACAGCATCTCGATAGGTATATTGCATCAAATGAAGAGTTCTTTGAAGGTGACTGAAATTTAAACATCTAAGAATAAACACACAGTTATTCATAAATAAATTCTGGATTTTCTTTGGTTCCCCCTTGTGTGTTGGCCTTCTAGTTTTCTCTCAGTTCAAGTACAGTAGAAAGCAGGACAGTTTCTTTTCTAAGAAGCTGAGTCATGCGTTTCTTGAGAAGTAGTTTTGAATAATGGATAAATGCAGGGACCTGAGTCAGACTGCCTGGGTATGAATCCCAGCTATTCTACTTACCAGCTGGTTATCTATGGACAAGTCACTTGACCTCTTAGATCTCATTTAGAGAATGGGATATTGATAGCACCTGTCTCTTAGGTATGTAAGGAGGATTAAATGAGTTGATATTTGTAAGGTTCTTAAACAAATGACAGAAATATATCGCAAGTAAGCCTAGGGCATACAGCAGGGCATAGTGTCTGTTAAATAAATTAATAAATTTCCCCAACTGACTTTTTTCCTTTATAGATGGACTGGCCAGTTTCAAAAGTTTCCTGAAGTCTGAATTCAGCGAAGAAAATCTTGAGTTCTGGATTGCCTGTGAGGATTACAAGAAGATCAGGTCCCCTGCCAAGATGGCTGAGAAGGCAAAGCAAATTTACGAAGAATTCATCCAAACAGAGGCCCCTAAGGAGGTTAGTACTGGTGGTAGATGGATCAGTTAAGTGTCAACTCAACAAGCTCTCAAGAAGGATTTACATCTGATATACAGGCCAACCGTTGGGAGCCAAAGGCTACTGCTATATGTGAGTAGGCCACCTTATTAAGCACCTATTGAATACAAAGGTAGAGCAATATGATCAAGCAGACATGAACTTGAATCCTGTTTAGGACACTTCCTAGCTATATGGGTCTCACTGCAGCAGCATGTAACCTCAAGTGGGAATGATACCAGTGTGATCTCTGGGATGAACTGGTGAGCCTCTCGGAACTTAGTTTCTCTCTTTGCAAAACTAAGAATAATGGAGACTCTTTTGTACGGAATTGTTGTAAGGAGATATGAAAATATGCATACATGTTGAGCATCTCTAATCAGAAATTCAAAATCCAAAATGCACCCAATTCTGAAACTTTTTGAATTCCAGGATGCCACAAGCAGAAAATTCTACACTTGCCCTCATGTGACTTGACTTCATTGTGGTCTCAATCAAAACACAGTCAAAGCTTTGTTTCTCACACAAAATTATTTAAATTATTATATAAAATTATCTTCAGGTCACGTATAAATGGTATATGTGAAACAAATAAATTTCATGTTTAGACTTGGGTTCCATCTCCAAAATATCTCATTATGTATATGCAGATATTCCAAAACCAAAAAAAAATCCCAAGTCCAAAACCCTTCTGGTCTCAAGCATTTCGGAGAAGGGATACTCTGCCTGTATCTTGGTGTCTGAACTATTTAATGCCTAGTGAGCATTCCTACCACTTTTCTTTGTTTGTCTTTCCTTTCCCTGCTCTTTCTTTTTCTTTCCCTTAAATACCTCACTCTTTTTCTTTTTCCTGCTCTACTCTTTTTTATCCTTTATTTTTTCCCCCAGGTTCTTACTATTTATGCTGTAGTTGGGACAACAGGGCATTCACTCATGAAAATAAAAATATTACGAAATAAACAGTGCTAGAGGTGTTGAAAGCCATTATACCACTAACTGACTTCCAAAGACCAGACATGTGTTGATTTCAAAGCAACTTTGGGGAAGTTTATCTGCTCTCTCCATTGCTGTTTATGAGACCACATTGAAAAGCCTGTTGTGGAATTCAGTATGGCTGCAGGAAGGCCTGGTCATCATGTTTTGGTCAGGTGATTCTAATTTCACTTGTTTAATATAGTAAGGATATGAAATGTTTCATCAAGGTTTGGAGTCAAGTATAGAGGTAATTTGAGCAAACCCTGAGGGTAGGCAGCACTCTACTAAAATGATTTGAGAAGGGGAAAACCCATATCCCTTTTCTCCCACAAGTGGTCTAGACTCCTGAAGTTCCACCATTAGATATTTATTCCTTTGGTTATGAACTATCCCTCACTGACTCTTTTTAAAGGGCAAATACATTTGAATGAATGGGTAAATTATGTACCTTAATAAAAATAGCTGTGTTCCTTCCATCACACATGGAGGTTAGGAGTATAGGGTACCATGGATCAAAGTCAAGGAAATGAAAGGTCCTAGAAGGGAACTACCTAGGTCTAGTCCTGATGTGCACATTTATTGATGAGATTCTTTCCAGAACTCTCCCACTCCTCAACCTCAACCCCAAGCCTATATGTTAGCTCCTATACTTCTTTTTCTCTTCCTGCTTCTGTCACCCAGGCTGAAGTGCAGTGGCACGATCATCACTCACGGTAGCTTCTAACTCCTGATCTCAGGCAATCCTTCTGCTTCAGTCACCCAAGTAGCTAGGACTATAGGCAAGCACCAGCACACCTTGCTCATTAAAAAAATTTTTTTTGTATAGGTGAGATTTCACTAAGTTGCCCAGACTAGTCTTGAACTCCTGGGCTCAAGTGATTCTCCAGCCTCTGTCTCCCAATGTGCTGGGATTACAGGCATGAGTCACCTTGTCCAGCCTCAACCCTACTTCTGATGCCAGTTATGTGGGGCCACTTTTTCTTTTTTTTTTTTTTGCATGGAATCTCTCCATACATGTTAACAAGATTGATATAATATTAAGTTGGACATACATTTTTCTATTTTGAGTGGATTTCCTGTTTCCAACTTTCTTTCCTATCAACTTCATTTCTTTTCACAGAATTCTAGAATTTGTTGAAATATCTATAAATGGTAGTTTTTCTGAGCTCTTGGAAAACTATTGATTATTATGAAAATATGATACATTGAAAATAGAGTTAAAATAAATAATACCCCGAATTGCTAAATTACTCAAACAAATAGATGTTGGCCACCAATTGCAAGGTTCTAATTAAAATGGTGTTGGCCTTCATTGTGAATGCTCTATGCTTGCATAGGGGACAATAGTATATAGAAGACCCCCAAATACAGGCAGCCCAGGGTAACGTAGAGTGATGAGCCTGAGCTGGGCTTTAGAGAGAATGTGATTCCTGCTCCTGGCACTTGAAAAGCATTCGGTAAATATTTGTGAGACACAAGGATGTAAATCTCCAACTCCAGACCTTCTTAGATGGGGAATTTTGGGCAAGTCTTTAACTAATGCTCTCTAATTCTTGTTTGTTTGCTTTTCTACTGCAAAAGGTGCTTTCACACACCCTACATATATGTAGGTGCATCTGGAGTATGTTTAATAAGTTATAACTTTTATTACTTAAAGATTCTCCAAGTCATGTCTTTTGACCCAAATATTTACTGTTTCATTTTGATGAGATTGACTTATATAAGGTCAATATAGATTACTATTTGCCTGGACAGTACTTTCTTTCTGTGAATATTCACCTCAGCTTTTTTTTTTTTAATTGGAGTCTTACTCTGTCGCCCAGGCTGGAGTGCAGAGGCACACTCATGGCCACCGCAGTCTCGAGCTACTGAGCTCAGGTGATCTTTCCGGCTTAGCCTTCCAAGTAGCTGGGAGTACAGGCATGTGCCACCACGCCTGTCTAATTTTTTAATTTATTATAGAGATGAGGTCTCACCAAGTTGCCCAGACTGGTCTCGGGCCCATGGGCTCAGGTAATCCTCTCACCTCAGCCTCCAAAAGTGTTGGAATTATAGGCATGAGTCGTCCTGCCCTGCCTCACCTCAGCTGTTTAATATGAGCAACTGACTGAGAGATACAGTAGTAAGAATTGGAACTAAGATTTAGCAAATAGAAATGGCCTTGGGTGATTCAATAAGGAAATACTTTTTACATTGCAAATTGTCATTTGATTGTATTTAAAATTAATGAAATGATTTTTTTCAGGATAAGTAAGTTGATGAATATTATAAGATTGACTCATTAGAAGATTTTGGCACATAAAAATAATAAAGGAAAGAACTGCAATTTGTTGCTGGATACTATGTCTTAGAGGGTTTTAAGTGTATCACTCCTTTAAAAAACAAGACTTAAAGATACTTTTGTAATTTTTAGAAATTCAACCATTCAGCCAGGCACTGTGGCTCATGTCTGTAATCTTAGCACTTTGAGAGGCCAAGGTGGAGAATTGCTTGAGCCCAGGAGTTTGAGACCAGCCTGGGCACCATAGGAGACCTTGTCGCTACAAAAAAAATTAAAAAAGGACATTGGCCAGGAGTGGTGGCTTATGCCTGAAGTCCCAGCTACACAATAGGCTGAAGCAGAAGGATCACTTCAACGCGGGAGATCGAGACTTCAGTGCTGTGATTGTGGCACTGCACTCCAGCCTGGGTGACAGAGTGAAACCCCAATTAAAAACAAAAAAAATTCTACCATTTGGAGTAAGTCTGCTTACCTAGCTAGCTCAGTAAAAGTATATATTTATATAAGAGAAGGAAAACCATTGTCTTAGTGTGGTGGGAAGAAAAATAGACTGAGAATAGAGAAATCTGCATTACGGCAGTAGCTGTCCGTGGACATATAATTTAGCCTAAGTATTCACATGTAAAGGCAGACATTGGACTCCATCATCTCTGAGGATGATCTCAGTTCTGACAGTCTGGTCTTCCTCTGTGCCTGCAAATAGCATGCTGGGCTTTTTCACCTTTGGCAAACCTTACCCTAGCCTCAGCTCCCTTCATCCTGGACTTTGCAGCAAAGCTTGGTCTTGCTGTCTGATCTGACCTGGCTCCCCAGGAAATCATGCCCTTTGTCTCTGGCTCTAGCTTCATAATTATCTTAGTCAAATAGCTCTTTTCAGTACCAAGTACCTCTAGCAGCCCAGGAGAGACCTGAAATGTTCTTCAGTCTTTTGATTCAGAACCGTTGGCTGATTTGGATTCCATTTCTTTCTCCTTTACACTCAACCCCCTTCAGAGTCATTAAAGCATACAATGTGTGAAGTATAAAGATTCCTTTCAAATCAGATTTGGGCAAGCTCATACAGGCTATACCCTGCACAGCTCCAGGGGAACCATTCACATAGACCCTGACAGGAATGATGTGTACAGTATAGTGGCACTGCATTAGGAACATAGAAGCCACAGTGTCTGTAGTCTGCTGGTTAAAAACTGAATTTCTCGGCCGGGTGTGTTGGCTCATGCCTATAATTATAGTGCTTTGGGATACTGAGGCAGAAGGACTGCTTTTGCCCAGGAGGTAAAAAAAAAAAAAAAAAAAAAAAAAGCTGAGTTTTTACATCTTTTCTCCTCTCATCAACGAACTGGGCAAATCCTACAACATTTCTGTGCCTCTGTTTCCTCAACTGTAAAAATGAGGATGACAGTATCTACCTCAAGGAGCTATAAGATTAAATGTGTTCATCATTGTGAGGTTCTCAGCACAGTGCGTAGCACAGGCTAAGCACTCAAAGCATAGCAGCTACTAGCTACTGTGTTTATCATTATTATTCTTTCAGAACAACTGTTTTCCAGTTCATTTTAAGACAGACTAAACTTCCTTGTCCTTCTGGAGCCATGCCAAAGGTCCTGAATCCCTAGTTAGAATTTCTTTCTCTCCCTTCAATTCCTCCCCTCAGCATGAAACCAAATGCTGTAGTGGGAGGATTTTGAAATTAGGTATCAGGAAACCTGGATTCAACTTCTAGTGCCAATATTTAAATACAAATATTGGCTTTATGATTTTGGTGAAGCCACTTAACCTTCTAGATATACATTTTTTCTTCCTTTTTTTTGAGTGGGAGTCTCTTTCCATCGCCTAGGCTGAAGTGCAGTGGCATGCTTACTGCTACCCCAGCGTTGACCTGCTGGGCTCCAGCAATCCTTCCACCTCAGCCTTCCAAGTAGTCAGAACTACAGGCCAAGTAGCCAGAACTACACCCAGCTAATTTTGATTTATTGTAAAGTTGAGGTCTCGCCAAGTTGCCTGGGCTGGTCTCGAACCCGTGAGCTCAGGCAACTCACTTGCCTCAGCCTCCCAAAGTGCTGGGATTACAGCCTGAGTCACTGAGCCCAGCCACATTTTTTTTTTCTATAAAAAGAGAGACTCATTCTTAGGGTGGTTGTTAGTATTACACGAGGCATGCATGTGTTAGCTGCCGTGGGAGGTCTGACACCTGGCGGGTATCTAACATCAGTTGGGTCTTAATCTGAGGCATACTTCTATTAGAGCATGAGCTGTCTTACCCCATTGTCTATAAAATAGAAGTAATATGTCTCACTTTTTAATGACTTTTTGTCCCCTCTTGTACTTTATTGATGAGAAATTCCACCTCCCTCTCCACCCCTCATCAAATTCTGTCTGACTCAGCAACCCTGTTTTCTGGCCCACAGGTGAATATTGACCACTTCACTAAGGACATCACAATGAAGAACCTGGTGGAAGCTTCCTTGAGCAGCTTTGATGTGGCCCAGAAAAGAATTCATGCCCTGATGGAAAAGGATTCGCTGCCTCGCTTTGTGCGCTCTGAGTTTTATCAGGAGTTAATCAAGTAGCTGTTTAGTCGGGCTCTGAAAATCATCCTGTGAGTTATTTCCTCCATAATAACCCTGCATTTTCCAGCAATCTATGTATCTTTCCACAGCAGCTTTGCTCAAAGGTATCAAAACAGGAACAATACCAGGATGTTTATCTTTATCTATTATCTGAATGCCTTCTTTCCCCATTTTATTCTTCCTGACCATTCTTAATTAAGCTCTGCTCAGTTTGTAGTCAGATCCAGTCAGAACCACAGAAAAATTCTGCCTAAGGCAAAGAAATATAAGACAAGAATCTGATATCATGGGATATGCATTTAGGTAATAGATGTCCACCTAGACTGATCTGAAAAAGAATGTGGGTGTGAAAAGGCTACATTCAAGAGTGCTTAATTGATCTCGCTTGTTTTAATTCTGATCTAGGGAGAGAGGTTGCCTCCGTTTCTGAACATGGTTAAAGGTAATAAGATTTTTATTAGGCAGCCACCATTTGATATTTTAAGCAAATACATTATTTAAAATACTGATCTTTCCCTTGGAGCACCTTTATATTAGCTGAGTATGAAAAGTAAGAGACATAACCATGTATAAATTGTGGTTATACAAAATCGATCTGAACACAATTCTTCTTGATTCTTTCCTTAGACCTTGCTCACTGACCCCTGCTGCAAAAGTTACCAAATTCTGTTTTTAATCCATCACCTAAGGTCAACAATGAATTATTTTATAAATGTTGCTATTCCCCTAGGATGTACATCAAATGCTTCAATTTTCAAATTATTTAAAATCCTTGTAAATGTAAAATCCTCAAATTTCTATATTCAATTGTATAAAATAAAGCTGTTGTTCCATGGGAGTAGTCTCCCGCCTCACTATCAAGAGGGCTATACACCAAGAAGTGACAATATCATCAACCCTAAAATGGCTAATTATCCTATGATGTTATTATCATAGGATAATAGTTATTTTCAAAACATCAAATTATTTTTGGAAAACAGTGTGACTATATGTAGATACTGTCTGAGTGAGACAGTTTTAAAGGACCCTGCACTTTTGCAAAGGAAAAAAAGTAATCTTTAGGCAACTTCTATTTTCTCTCACTGTTTTGCTTCCTGCATTAGTCAATTGTAGAGTCAAAAGCGCAGATTTATACTCCTGACATGCCTCATACACAGGTTTAAACTTTAAATGCTGTATTTCATTATAATTAGTCTTGCTCAAATTTTTTCTAGTCTTTGATAGGTTTAGTTAAGTAATGATTCACATAATTTAGTAGTAAATAAAATCAAACTAAACCATGTTTGAGGGTAATCAAGATAAGGGTATTGAGTTAATTCAGAAGAAAGAGGGCTTTTTTTAAGGACTAATAAAATTCTGAAATGTTTAAGTAGAAGATTACATTGTCTAGTCTTGTATTTCTTTCTTTTGTTTTCCTTTTTCATTCACATACTCCTAGTTTCCCATATGTGTAGCTCACTTATTCAGTTATTTGCAAAGAATATTGAAAATAAAGCAACTATGTTACTCATTCTTCAGGCAAACATGAACTGTGCTGGTTGGAATCTCTCTATTTTTGTTATTTTTAAAGGATAATATATCCTTCCTGAATACTTGCCCTTTCACGTTCTGAAATGGGTAGAGTACTGGGTGTGCTGTCAACAATTGCTAGTGGTATGAACTCATTAATATTTGTCAGTGTTGCTCACTTCAAAGAAAGTCCTTCATCCAGCAGTCCAGAGCTATACCAGATCAACATTGTAATCATGGAGTTCCCATCGCATGTGTGTGTGTGGGATTGACAAGGAACTCAGAGAAAAATTTCCAGGGTGTACTTCCCGCACCATCTTCAATATCTGTCTACACTGCCCAAAATTATTAGAAAAAGTCTCAGCCATTTATTTGTTCATGCAGCTAAAACTGGTAGGAATCTAAGAATCTAGGCGAGTTATTTTTTCTTGGACACCAAAACATTTTTAGGAAAAAAATTGAATTGAATGAAAACGTCAAATGCTTTATTCACAGTATTTGAAATATCCAGTGTTCGAAAATGAACAATTAAACTAAATATTACATATCTCATCCAGATGGTTGGTGTTAGAAAGACTTCGATTAACTGTATTCATGAATTGACTACACACCCAGTGAAAATGGGTAGACTTGCCAATGGAAAAATAAGAAGGACCTTGACCTTTTAATAAGCAGAATCAAGGAGGCAGAAGGAAGGAAAGGGCACAATGAGGGTTGTGCTGTGAAGATCACAAAAAAAATGAAAGAAGGAATGACCTTCAGTCAAATGGTGACATTGTATCTATCTATCTATCTATAATATTAAATTTCTTTTTCTGAGTTGGAATCTCACTCTGTCGCCCAGACTGGAGTGCAGTGGCCGCTCCACCGCAGCCTCGCCTGCTGGGCTCCCGTGATCCTTCCGCCTCAGCCTTCCGAGTAGCCGGAATTACAGGCATGTGCTACCACGCCCGGCTGATTTTTTGATTTATTGTAGAGATGAGATCTCGCTGCCCAGGTGGATCTCGAATCCGCGGGCTCAGGCAATCCACTCCCCTCAGCCTCCCAAAGGCGCGGGATTACAGGCTGAGCCACCGAGCCCAGCTCTATAATATTAAATTTAAGGCACTATGTACACACACATTAGAAACTCTTCTAACATATAAAGTAATAAAGTTAAAAGGAATATAAATATTCCAGCCCCAAATGAGGGCAAAACATATTAAGATTGCTCTAGATAATGTATTTGAAAGCTTTTAAAAGTTTTTTGAAACTTAGAAAAGAGAAGAAAAGAAACTGTGTTACTAGTAGTTTCCATGGTAACACAAAGAAAATACATACCTCTAATTCTGGGAAATTAGAAGAAGTGGGATGATTTTTTCCAGGAAAAAACATGTAACATTTATTTATCACTCCCCTTCCCCTCCTCTCCCCCCTCTCCACTTTCCCTTGAACAAATTGCCTGGGAAAGTCTGAAGCTTAATGCAAGAGCCCTGTGGTACCTGCATTTTCCTCCCTTGTGAAAACGTAACTACAGTTGTGAGTGAATTTAGGATGTAGCAAGGTGGTGGAACCAAATTGTTATCAATAGAAACAGGCGCATATGCTTTTCACTCTTGAGAGAAACCTAAGATTAACCCAGGTAATGGCCCATAGTCTTAGTTCTTCTGCCTGGGTTTGATATAGTTTGGGGTTGGGGTCGAATTCAGTTCTAAATTAGACCAGGACAAAAGACAGAATATCAACTTGACAGGACTACTAATTAGGAGATTCTCTTCCATGTTTATCTGTTAAAGCAATGACTGTTTATGTGAACAGCCCTCCATCTTCCCCCTACACACACACATACACACACAACTTCCTCTCAGATAGATACCCTTTGAAATGCAAAATTAACTGAGGCATTTCAGTAACTTTGCTTCCAAATCAATAATTTCATGTCCCATTTCCCACACCCTGTGTTTTCCAATTCTCTACTGTATAAATTATGCTTTAGGTCAATTTTAGGGTTTTGTGCCAAGGAGAATAACTTGGTAAAATAAATTGATTTACTTTACTCTTCTACAAAGCCATGGATTTCACTTGGTTACTGTGTTCTCTGTACGATTCATTTCAATAGGGTGGAGCTCTTAGTTATTTCCTCAAGAATAATAGGGTTGCAGAAGTTTCAATAAAAACTGAATTAGTCAATAAATGAATAAACATTTCCTTCTAGGACTTTACTAAACTATCTGTTCCATCACAAATTTGATAATTTGAGAATCATTTAAAAGGCTAGTTATATTTCAAGGAAAATTTATTTTTCTTTCTGTTTTTTTTTTAACTTTCTTTTTTTTTTAAATCTGGGTCTCTACTGTCCAGGCTGGAGTGCAGTGGCAGGATCATGACTCATAGCAGCCTCCACCTCCTGGGCTCAGGCAATCCCTCTGCCTCAGCTTCCTGAGCAGCTGGAACTACAAATGACTGTCATCATGCCCAGCTAGTTTTTAGACTTTTTGCAGAGATGAGGTCTTGCTCTGTTGCCTAGGCTGGTCTGAAATTCCTTGGCTTGAGCAATCCTCCTGCCTCAGCCTCCCAAAGTGCTGAAATTACATGTGTTAGCCACCATGCTTAGCCTGTAAATGATTTTTATTTCTAAAACGGTTTCCCCAGTAGGCCATTTTCCTCGCTTCCTGGGAATTTAGCAAGTTTGGGAGAGAATGGGTCATGAGAAGAAAGGAGAGAAGGAAAGTGGTAAAAATGTAAGTGCCTAGACCTATGGAATTAATCCATTTACTAGGAAACATTTAAGAGCAGATCAGTTTGGTAGAAAACGGCTTCCTATTGTCATCATCCATATTTGCAGAAAGGCATTTCTTGACTCATGAGGCAGCTAGGTGAGAAACTTCATTTTAACATCTTAGAGATCCTTGACTAGAGAAAAATAACAAATACTGAGACCCTCCTTTATATCTTTGCCCTGCATGTGCCAGAAGGCAGAGAATGAAGAGCGAGGTTCCCAACATCCAAGCATTCAAACCCAAGGGCTAGGAAACTCTGGGTAGGTTTTAGACATAAAGTCTTGGTGCATCTTGGGATATCCTGACAGAACTGCCATTATTCCTTCTGGTTTTCTAGTCCCCTCATTCTATTAGACAAGAATGTATTTAATACTTGCTTGAAGCAAGGCTCTTAGTAAACAATTTATCAGCTGCTGCTTGTATTAAACATACTTTTATCAAATAGGTCCTGTGGCAAACTGGAGCAGTGGATATCCACAGAAAGGCTTTCCCACTGTCAGTTAACTATCCAGGAAGTTCGATTCTTTCAAATGACGAGAGATTTGTGACTTTGCATGGAAACCCACAGCAGATAGTAACAGGCAAAAAAAAACCAAACAACCAATCAAACAAAGAAATTTGGGGATATTATTCGCAACTCATAGTTTAACATTCTTATATTAATGTTCTTATATTTCTAGTAGAGAAGCTACAAGTCAACCTCCTAATATTAATATCCAGTCTAATAGACCTCTTGCAAGTTACTTGTTCTCACTTGAGATGTTTTTTCTTTCCACCTTACTCCTGTCCCTTCCTTCCTCTCCTCCTCCTGCAAGAAAAAAAATTCAAACAGTTGGATCTAGTCACAATTATGTAATAATAAACACATTAAAAACACTTAATTGCCTATCTAAAAAAATCCACAGGCTGAGGCATGGACAAAACAAAAGGAACTGTTAAGAAATTTGCCACTGGAGACAAAATCTGGCTAATTTTTGCCAAAAAATTCTTTTTTTGTCATATAGTATCAGAATTTGAGGAAACTAAAATGTATCTTGCAATTCATCTTCAAGAGATACTGCTGCCAGGAGAATGAGATAGAAATGAAAACTCTATGAATCCATTTGTAAGCATTTATCTTACACGTTTTTAATTCAAGAACAATTGTGGTTATCTTCTGATTCTTGTATCTGATCCTTTATGTACTATGTGAATCGAGTTTCTTGACAAATAAGCACCAAATATGTATCTGTAACCATGATCATATATATGATATTAAATATATATCTGTATGTCAGACTCATGAGTCCTTCTTGATTCCCAAGTATTTTTTAAATATAAAACATTCTTCCTTAAAATAAGCTTGTTTCTTTACCATGCTTCTTATATCAATCAGGTAAGCCCTTGATCAACTGGAAGGATGCTTACTAAGAAGAGCCAACTATAATATAACCTGCATGCAAAACGCAGAAAGGGAGACACAGAATACTCCATTTTTATATATTCTGGTGACTATTTTCCCTTGGATTCAAGTGACAGTAACTTATTGACCCAGCCACTATCATTGTTAGGAACTGACCAAACACATGATATCATTTGGATTCTGCAATATTCAGCGAGTGTAGTAATTCTTTTCCTGCACTGATGAAAGATCTGAAAGATCTAAAATTCAGATGCCACTGCAAGCAGCTCAATTCCATGACCTTAAATTTGGTGCTCAGATAGTTTAGGTAATTTTTTTTTGTTTGATTCAGGGCTCACTCTGTTTCCCAGGCAGTGGCATGATCATGGCTCACCACAGCCTCAACCTCCCGTAGTTGGGACTACAGATGCATTCCACTATGGCTGGCGAATTTTTTCATATTTTGTAGAGATGAGGTCTTACTATGTTGCCCAGACTGGTCTTGAACTCCTGGGCTCAAGCAGTCCTCCTACCTTGGCCTCCCAAAGATGGTGCCACAGTGATCATAAAAATAGTAGGATTGGGACTGGGTAAAGAAGAAAGCTTGTATGCAGAAATTAGCATAAATAGGAACAGAGTTACCAGGAGAATTCACGTGGAGAAAGACAGACAGACATAAAGAAAGATGAAAGAGGGTATCTGTCTTGGTCTTTGACAAATTTCATAGTTCTCATTCCCAGTTCCTGTGAGGCCTGGCTATGTTTAATATAGATACACTGCCCCAGTATCATTTACCGCCCACTCTCCTATTGATTTTAATTATCTTGGATGAGTTTTCACCAAGAACTATCATTACAGCAAAGATCATTTTCACGTCTCTGTCTCCCCACAGAGAAAAAGGGACATTCTTGATGCCATTCTGCAGATCACTGGCAGAACAAAGCTCAGAGATCAGTGGACTGTCTCTCAGGTTCCTGTTTGGTCCCCTAAACATTTGTTCCCTCAAGATGTTAGGTTTATTGGCTTGCATTTGAGCAGAACAGGCTCAGTGAACCACTCTCCAAGTGGGAACCTGTTCCATCATCTGTCAAAGTCAGGTAAGCCAAGTTCTTCAAGCTATCAGAGCTTTAAAGCACGTTGTGCTATTTTTACATTTATTTTAATCAGCAGTATCTTGAAAATTATTTTTTCCCATAAGCCACTTTCCAAAGACATAAAATCTTCAAATGGCTTCCCAATGTCTCCTGTGTATCCTGCATGCAAATTAGTCTCATTTGGCAAGTTTCTGGTCCACTTTCCATGCTTTTCCACATTTTGT